AGCTTCTTATTGTCTCTTCTGGATGGTGTATAAATGTGGTTTATCTCTCTGTGTCCACTAATGGGTGATTTGTTCAAGTGCCAAGCTTCCAGGAATTCACTAGCTAGCATTGTTAGACTTAGTTTGGTCTAGGATGCTCACAGTTTCCCAGTTCTTCTCAACCTTAATACTTACTGTGGTAAAATATTATAGGTGAACTGAGCAACTAGCGTTTCCCTATTTCATTTTGTGCCTTTGCAAAATCACTAACAGATTATTATGATTTCTCCTTACACTTTCCTTTGTAAAAATTTAGCTTATCAACAAAACCATGTTGACAGCGTTTTTGACAGTCCTGATTATGGCTCCAAATCATAATTAAATACTATGATTATCTAAGGCCAATAATTGTGATAGAGCTTATCAGCAAACAAACTAATATTAGCCAGTTGAGAAAGCCATTTGATCTGAGTTCTCCAGGGTCAGTTTTTTTTTAAAACTGCAATACAGGAGGAACAACATATACAGTAATCCTTAGCCATCCCCATTGTTAAGGAAGATACCAAATGAATTTCAAAACCTTCTACATACTTCATCAGGTACTAATTCCATAAAATTCTCTAGAACTTCTTTCCTAGCAAACATGCCAGAGAAGACTCAGCCAAAGCCTTGTCTCACCTTTCATATTTCATGAATGGAATTGAAAAATTCACGGACAACTGCAACAGTTACTGCTGCATGCTGCCACTGTGGCATCTACAGGCATATACTCACCCAGCTCCAAAAGCTCTGTCTTCTTTTTTAACCACATATAATAGCCTATCAATCCCTTATAAGCTTGAACGAGTTTCAGCTCTTTTTCCTGAGCAACAGTTTCTTCTCCATATCGCCAACTTTCAGCCAAGATCAAATTCTGATAGGCTTCATCCAGAAATCCACTGCACAAAAGGTGGAAGGCATGCTCTAAAGAAATCTGTAATTTGAACTTTGTTTACTAGGTTGAACAGAAGCAGCACCTTTGGATACCAATACGCATAAACAAAGCAGCAGTTCCCAATAACTTCAGATATGAGTTGTGTCTTTAGAACTATTCTGTTTTAATAACAAGGAACCACTTTCAACTGCAGTTGTGTATGGGTATGCTAGACGGTCAGCTGTATAAGAAATCAAAGATTCCTACTATAGAAATAATCACACTTTTTTGCTGATACATGAGAGTGCATTTTTCCAGGTTGTGGAACAAATAAGCTTATGGTATTCAGTTAGAATCAATTATGGAACTACTCAGTTTTTAAATAGTTCCAAAGCCATAATTAAAATACAATTCTGTGTCATTAAAATTTGAAGCCATATATTTTATCAAAAATATCACACAAGAAGTGTAATGTAGAGATCTATACTAAAATTTTACAATAACAGTATATTTTCTTTTTTAATATAATTTTAGCAAATAAATTTTAACAAGGTAAAATAATATAAATATTAGAAAGTAAAATAAGAAAATAAAACAGGGAATGAAAGAAGGAAGGAAGAAAGGAAGGAAGGAAGGAATTGTGGCTTCTAACCATTTTGACAATGTGGTTATAAATGTATTTTATATTTGACCTTTCTAAGATTACATCATATTCTTAAAGGAATCAGTAGGAATTCTCATAATAAAACATGTTTTCAATATTAAAATATTGCATTAAAGTTATTTTTACTTAAAAGTTTTTTTCTTACCTTTAAATATCTTTTGACTCCTAAATTTTTCATCCGATCTGCAAAATGATTGATCTCTTCTATATTACTTTGTGGATGCTGCTGCAAGATTTCAGTTCCTATTCTCCAGATCTCCTAATGAGGTAGAAAATACNTAAAACATGTTTTCAATATTAAAATATTGCATTAAAGTTATTTTTACTTAAAAGTTTTTTTCTTACCTTTAAATATCTTTTGACTCCTAAATTTTTCATCCGATCTGCAAAATGATTGATCTCTTCTATATTACTTTGTGGATGCTGCTGCAAGATTTCAGTTCCTATTCTCCAGATCTCCTAATGAGGTAGAAAATACGTTACAAGCAAATCATAAAACCACAGTACTAAAAGCAAATGCACTGTGACTACTGGTGCACCCTTATACAATTATTTACAACAAAATCACTAACATGATGCCGATGAGCAAGGACATGCACAGAGGCAAAGTCAAGAAAGTTAACATGGCAGACTCAATTGTGTGGTCAAGGTTGCCATTTTGATTTTCTTGATCAATGTCCCAATACATTTGCCTGTGAACACTATATTTCCGATACTCACTTCCCCATGAGCTATGCCATAAGATAGGCAGGTAGACAGACAGATAGAGAGATCTGACATTCTACAGATCAAAACACCAGCCTCTATCATCTTTATTTACATAGAATACAGGACCCCATATAGACCCAACATATATTACAGAAAATAAAAAAGGTAGGTGACTGTAAGGTAGGGCTTTAAGAAATTTGCTTAAGTGTCCAGAAAAATGTGAAAGATAAAATAGAAAACGTCAGGAAGCCTCCTGAAGGGCTGACAGGAGGTGAAGACCAGCCAATAGGTTGCCTTATGTCAGGGGTGTCAAACTCAATTTCATTGAGGGCCGCATCAGCATTGCGGTTGCCCTCAGGGGGGGCGGGTGGGTGTGGCCAGGGTGGGTGCAGCCTACTGGGTGGATATGGATGGAGTGGGTGTGGCCTACTGGGTGAGCGTGGCCAGCTCTACATCATTCGCGTCAAGGGTGCCTCTGGGGGCCTGGGCAGGAGTGGGACAGATCTGAGGGTCTCTGGCAAAAAGGGGTGGGAGCAAGGCAGAGCCCATCAAGCCGGATATGTGAAGTAGGCGAGGGCCATTTGCTGGCCACTTCCAGGCGATGGTGCATTTCTTCATTTCTCACAAAGGGTGACACCTCCCCAGCATGCACTCAGGGGGTGGGGCCGACGTGGCAAAGGCTGGTTCCTCACTGTTTCCAGACGGCCTTGTGGAGCTAAGACTGAATGCATTTCAGCATAGATGGCCACCACAAAATTGTACATTGGCTCCCAGCCGGCCTGGGCCAGGGCCAAGGCAGCGGGGGCCGTTCCCTCACTGTTTCTAGGATGGCTTCGTGGGCCACATGAAACCACTTCGCGGGCCGCATCCGGCCCCCGGGCCTTGTGTTTGACATGTCTGCCTTATGTCAACTAAATAAATATTTCATGATTGGCTGTATTGTTTGTAACTTTTTTGTGAACAGACAATCCCATTATAACTTATTCTGACATTTTGTGAGAGCACTCACTACATCCATTTAAATTTTCAAAGGTTCCTACGGCCTAAAAAAGGTTTGAATCCCACATTTATGAAAAAATGTCCCATGTCATACATCTAAATGCACGACACAATGCATAAATGAGACATTTTTATCCTGTTCTTAATTATATTATATAGAGGCACATGCTAGAGAAATGATATATTTCCAATCATTTCAAAGATATTCTATTAATTAATTTATTTACCTCTTGAGCTGTCACCCTTTTTTCTGCAGTTGTATTTTCCAGCATTTCCAAGTAGCTTATCATTAATTCTGCAGCCCTCTGCCACTGACTTTGTAAGAGAGCATCTTGAATACAGCATAAACAATCCTCTTTCACCTTCTGAAATTCTGAAGATTTCACAGCCATATTTGCTTCAACCAACATAAGAAAACATTTATTTATATTTAAATTTATATTTAAATTTATATGCCGCCCTTCTCCCCATGGGACTCAGGGCGGCTCACAGCATATTAAAACATTGTACAAAAAATTTTTCCCCTGCTAAAAACCAATTAAAATCCAAATATTAGTAGCTGTGGCTCTTTAAAATTGTTTAAAAATTGTCCCTATTTAAAACTCACCTTAGGTCAGGCCCGCTTGTTGAAAAAGCCATGTCTTGAGGGCGCGGCGAAAGGTTAAGAGATCCGGAATCGTCCGGATCTCGGGGGGTAGTTCGTTCCAGAGGGTGGGGGCACCCACAGAGAAGGCCCTCCCCCTGGGGGTCGCCAGCCGACATTGCTTGGCCGACGGCACCCTGAGGAGGCCCGCTCTGTGGGAGCGTACCGGCCTGTGGGAGGGAATCTGCGGCATACCTAAAGCATTTATGGAACTAAGTTTGCCATTTACAGAGAAAATGTGAATTTATATTCATGTCTGGAATGTGAACTCCAAGAATATATTGTGCATCAATTTGGCATTATCTTATCTCAGAAATCTTATCAGTATCCTGAAGCATCAAATTCATGGATTTTCCTGGCATAGGTTACGATGTGTCACATCAACTGAAAAGCATTATGAATTTTAGCTTTTTTTCTGGTGATTGCATAAATGTTATTAACATAAACAATCCTTCCTACAATGGAATTAAAATAAAAAGGAATATTTCTTATTGGAAGAATATTAAGAACATCTGGGTGACCTGCCCTGAATCCCAATTTTTTTTCTGAGCACAATCCAAGATGCTGATTATCATCTTTAAAGTGCCAGATCATTTTATTTATTTATTTATTAAAAAGATTTATAAGGCCACCCAACTTGCTCACTTTGACTCCAGGAGACTTACAAAGACCAGACCCCAAATGCAAAACACAATACATTCCTACCTTCCTGGCAACAACATTCAGACAAATCACTTAATGGGCTCCAAATCATCCTGATGTTCCTAGGCTGGCTGGCAAAACCATATCTTCAGGGACTTTCAAAAGAGTATCAAGGTGGGGGCCAATTTTATCTTCATGGGGATGATGTTCCCTATGAAGGGAGCCACCACAGAAAAGTCCCCTCATCTTAGTCCCACTAGATGGGACTTGTCTCCTCGCTCTGGTGGATCAAGTAGATCAACTGAATCTACTGGGAAAAGATGGTCCATCAAATAACCTGGGCCCAAGCCATATAGGGCTTTAAATGTGATAACAGGCACCCTGAATTGGATGCAGAAGCAAAGTGGCAACCAAAGCAGCTCCCACAAGAGGAATCTAGATTTGCACAAAACCATCACGTTTTGAACCAACTGAAGCTTCCAGATACTTTTCAAGGGCAGCCCCATGTGGAGCGCATTACAGTAGAAAAACCCGGAGGTGACTATGACATAGGTAACTGTTTTTCAATTATACAAAAATCAATTTTAATGTAAATAGTGTACAGTGTATAAAAGCACAGTATCTTGATAATCAATCATCATCTGAAAGTACAAAATAATACTGCAATCAGTTAACTTTAGACAGATCATGTGATTGGTCTTTGACTCAGCTAAAAAATTCTGAATTCCATATCCTTTCAAGTTCAGTGCTCTTCTCTTCAAAGACTTTCAGGTAAACTACTTACAGTTTAATTGCTTCTAGAACTTCTTTTACTGGCTTCAAAAGAGGATCCCTTTTATTAAATACATCTAAGGCTACAGATGCTACTCTAACTTTCCACTAATTCTCCAGTCTATCTTCTTTTCCATGTACCCCATTGCCCCAAGAACTCACATTTTGTCCCAAAGCAACAAGGGAATTTGGGGAAACAGAACAAATGGAAGAATCTGATCAATAGGTAACAGATGAAGCTTTACTAGATACATTAGCCAGTTTGGCCTAGCAGTTAAGTCACCAGACTAGAAAGCAGGGGACTGTGAGTTCTAGTCCCGTCTTAGTCATGAAAGCCAGCTGGGTTACCTTGGGCCAGTCAGTCTCTCTTTCAACCTACCTCATAAGGATGGTTGTTATTGTGGGGAAAATACGAGGAGGAAGGTGTGTTGGATAAGTTTGTTGCCGTGAGTTATTTATAAAATAATAAAGATGGGATGCAAATAAATAAAAATTATATCCTAAGTCTGGCCATAGAATTGCAGGAAGAAACTATAAGTTACTAACATGTGATTTTCGACTACCAGTCTGTATCCTATTAAGTATCCTATGTCACCATCACATTAATAACAGTAATAGTTAACTAGCAATTGTACACCGCCCAAATTCAGCAAATGAATAAATAAAAATATGTACTATAGCAGAGCACGCTGGTAAAGGCCACCCAATTGAATTTGCTTTGCAAAAAGGAAAAAAAAGTATCAGGGCAACAGCTAGGTTGGAACTCATCTTTCTAATTGCTAGTTTTTCTATAAACGAGAATTCCATGTTAGGTTAATGCTCAATATACCATTCCTCAACTGCATTTCAAAGTGGCACCAAAAAGATATATTATGCAATTTTTCTGAAGAAAACAATTGGTTATAACAAGTTCATAGCAAAAGATAAAGGTAACACTATCATATACTGCAGGCTGACGAAGGTCTATATGGGGGAAGGAGAGAGAATGACCCCAGGATTTTGCTACTTTCCTTCATTTCTACTTTCCATCATGTCAGTAAAAACTTACTTGGATGGTTGAAATGTTTTGGCAGTAAAGGCAAATAAATTTCTGGGACCAGAACATTGGCTGCAGACTCATCCTCTGTTTCTCCTGTGGACAGACACCTTTCTTGTCTCAGTTCTTCAACAAAGTTATCCATTTCTATGACTATATTTAGAAGAAAACCCGCTACTTGTACAGTAGTGTAAGCTTATAAATAAATCAAACCTAATAATCTGCAAAAAACAGGAAAGAGGAAAATACACATTATATGGTTTAGAAAAAAATCAGCAACACTAATAGTTTTAAATGTGTTTAACAGGTCTCTTCATTTAATAGACACACTAGTGGTATCCTGGAACTGGCTCCCAGAAATAGTTTTTTTCATGAAATATACACTTACATATATCAGCATTTAACCACTAAGGTAAACACCACATATTTCAAATAAAGCAATATCAGGAAACCTAATTAACTAAGAATCAAAAATACTTAGGACAATAGTTGGGTTATATTAATTATAATCATATAATCATTAATAAAAACAGTAAATGAGCACCAAACTCCAGCAAATACCTACGTCTGAAATTTTGGGCCATTCTCAAAGAAGTCTTTTGAAGCTTCAATACCCCTTAAAGGTGGATCAAAAAGAGAGACCTGCTATTGATTCCTTTAAGAATATGGGATATGTTTATTCTTGATTTGTTCCCTCTAGAAATAAATTTACAATATAAACAGCCTCTTCAATCCACCAATGATCTGGACAACTACATAATAAAGATGATAAATTAGATGAAGGAGACAAATCTACTCTAAATGATTCATGCAGTACTAACTTTATGGCTTGAACATTACAATTTATTCTCTGTGGCTTTGAAGACATCCAGCCTGTTCAAGATGCCTCACTATCCATATTGAATCAGTTTCATTGACTACCAGAATCATTCAAGCATAACTGAAGGTGCTCACAGTGGTCTATAAAATTGTACATAGATTAGATGCAAGCTACCTGCAAGGCTATGAATTCATGGACAAACTACTCCGTGCTCTCAGATAATCAATGGATTTTTATGGATAAGTTGAATACAAGCAACCAATCTGGCTTTCTTTGTGGTAGGAACCACGTTGTGGAATAAATTGCCATTGGGATTGAAACAATCTCCCCCCTTGTAACAATTCAAGAACTTCAAAATATTTGTTTTCCCTGGGCTTTCAATATTACTGTATTCACTTTTGTGTGTTTTGCAGAGGAACGGAGAGGAGGGGGCAAACGATGTAATATGCCCTGCAGCTTCGTAAGCCACCTTTCTATACATGTGTGAAGTCTTTTGTTTGCACATATGAAAAGGATGCAGCTTGAATCCTCAAATGCAAGGCTCCTTTCGGGTGCGCTTTAAGGTGTTAGTTACCACCTTTAAAGCGCTCCATGGCATAGGACCTGGCTATCTCCGAGACCGCCTTCTGCCGCAGATTCTCTCCCATAGACCGGTACGCTCCCACAGAGTGGGTCTCCTCAGGGTGCCGTCGGCCAAGCAGTGTCGGCTGGCGACCCCCAGGGGGAGGGCCTTCTCTGTGGGTGCCCCCGCCCTCTGGAACGAACTACCCCCCCAGATCCGGGTGATCCCGGATCTCCTTACTTTCCGCCGCGCCCTCAAGACATGGCTTTTCCAGCAAGCAGGCCTGGCCTAGGGAGGATTTTAAATCGGGTTCATTTTTAGAAAATTTTAAATATTCACAACTTTAAAATATTTGGGTTTTAAATTGGTTTTATTCGGCGGGGATTGTGGGCATGTTTCTGTTTTAAAATGTTGTGAGCCGCCCTGAGTCCCTCGGGAGAAGGGCGGGATACAAATAGAATAAATGAATGAAATGAAATGATAAAAGCATTGGTCCTATAGAAAACATTAAGTGTGCGTGTGTGTAAATAATTTCATGTATCTTTTTCCTACATCTTGCAACACCTTCAGAACTCTTAGGGAAGTGGGTGGCACTTAAAATTTCTACATAATTACAAGTACAAAATTACATTGACCAGAGAGTGCTTCCCAAGTAGAAGATAATGTGACTGAAAGGAGTTAAGAGCCCACCTTGTTTCACAGAACCTGTAATTGAAAGGCATAAGATTCACAGGCTTCTGGAGGAAAAAAAAAAGTGTCCTTCCAATATCACCCAGCAACCCCAGAGCTGCAAAACAGGAAACTCAATTGGCCTTTGCAGGGCACATTTTCTAAGCATTTGTTTTAGGAGCAAAAGGAAAACGACAATACGAAATAACAACTGAGTTATAAAGTTATCGTGAAGGGTGTGTTTTATGGCGTCGCTTGCCTAATGGTCAATGAATTCGTTGGTTACGCTGTAATAGCAACCACCCATACACATTACACACCCTTCGTAAGACAAATTGTTTCCTTCCCTTTTCTTATTTGTAACAGCCGATGAAAGCGCAACATCTGAGAATTCTCAGGATAGCGCTACCTACCAGGACAGGAAGCTTCCTTTCTTCCCACCTCCCTTCGTTCCGGTTCCGAGAATATGCGCGTTACATTCTGTACGACAACGCCTTTTCTTTCACTTCCGATGCTTTGCTGCAGCGAGCGCCATCTTTTATTTGGGCATCAGGAAAAACGATTTTCTGCGTGATACTCTCTGCCTTTCAAAGTATCACATTCACCTGCGCATGCGTGAATCCTTTCCCTTTGGTGTCTAATTACCGGTGTCCCTTCATCGCCTTGGAGTCCCTGGACGCGTTTTTGTGCTCGTAAACTGAGCCTTGTTAAAGATAATACCAGTTCATCATTTACGTATTTTTCTGTGATTCTGGTGGTCTCTCGGTCCATAACAGAATTGGAACCTAGATAAATTGAAGAAAAAGCAAGATCTAATAGGTTGACAAATAGTTTGTTCTTTTCCCAGGCTTTTTTCTTAGGTTGTCTTTCACAGCTGTGCAGTACTGCCTTATATTATGGACTGTAGTTATTTTAATATTGTATTAAAATATTTAATATTGTATTAAAATATTTACACCACTTCAGATTCATTTCCAGAAAATGCTTTTTGTAGAGAGGCCTTTTTAGATGGTTAAGCGTAGTGAAGCAGGGTCAGGCCATCACCCAGAAATCCCAGGGCTGAAGGCTAAATTAAGAATATTTTGAAAGAAGGCAATGGTTAATGTATGCTGGTGTCAAGAAAAGTATGTGAAACTAAACTTGTTTCAAGCAATATACTGTAATACAGATATAATTAATATCTCCCTTCAGCTGTGATCCTTGAAAATCCATATTCTCCAGTTCCTTTGGGACTAGAATATTAACTAGTTCTTTTTACTAGTATCTAACCATTCATTTATATCTAATCATTGTGCACGAAGAAATTTCTTCCATCTATGCTTAAATGTTAATTGGCTCAGCATGTTCAGTGTTAACTGGCTGTTTTTCTCTCCTCAGACTATTCTAGCTTTACATATTACATGCACTTGGGGAAAACAGGATTGTATGATTGCATGCATTCTTTCACAGAGTATGGTTTCCCTACTGCTTATAAACTGAATTTTATTTTATTGTGATCCAAGGTAATCCAGTGAGTTTCCACTTGAACTTTGGTGTTCTTAGTCCTATGGCAAAATCCTAATCATTATCCACATTAAAAGTCAAACTAGCTTACAGCTGTATAGTAAAGCTTATTCTCTGATAACTTGGTGAACTATAAAGAACAAAAGTAGCCATAGAGGAATTTCATGGATGTGTGCCAAAGTCTGCAAAGGAACTTGCATGCCAGGGACTTTTCAGTATACTTACAAAGTAAAATGGATTTGGGACTCAGAACCAGAAACTTTGCAAATAATTCTTTGTCTAATCAAGACCCAGCAATGATATCTCTGGATTCTAAAGCACTCCAAGGGCCTTATTATGTAACTTACTGACACTAACTGTGGATTTGTGTTATGTATCATGTTTCCACTTCTGTACCATTTATCCAGATGAATGAAGAACCTGATGTACAGCAAATATTCCGCTTTGTATGGCACAAAAACCCAGTTGTAGATCAAAGATCCTGGTTATCAACAAAAAAGTAAGCCAGCTGAAAGAAAATTACTTTTATACTATATTTAGACATTACATTTAAGGAATGGAATAGTAGGCAACTTTCAGAATGTTCAGGTTCACACTAAGGATTCCCTGGAATGAAATAAAATAAAACAATAAATGTGACA